AAAAAAAAAACAAATGTAAAATTTCTAACAAAAATTAAAATACACATTTAAAAATTACAAAAACAATTAGACTTCAACGTAACAAATTAACATTTTTTTTTCTAAATGTTATGGTATATTGTTTAATGTTAATACATTATTATTATTATTATTATTAAAAAAAAAAAACAAAAAATGACTTACCTATAAAGTCTATGATGACGATGGGATCGTCACCGTATTTTTTATTCTTCTTGCTGTTGTAATCCGGCTCGGACAGCACAAATGCGGCAACGTATGGTGTAAATATGGCTGTATACATTACAAGAAGTAATATCACCCAATCCCAGACCGCTTTGAAGGGAGAATAATGTAATATGGTCCACTTGTGGATTCTAGGTGATTGTAGTTTGTACTCGGGAAGGACGTCCGCGCCGAGGGACAACACCTACGAATTTTAAACAATTTTTCATTTATTTATTTATTTATTTATTTATTTATTATATTCCCCATATTATCAGATCAATCAAAAATGCAATAATTTGTGCATTCCAATGCATTCTCTCATTTAATTGTACAATTTTTCTTCTTTTCTTTTTTTCTTTTAATTATATTTATTATTAATTATTATTATTATTACAAATTTATTAAACACAGTAGGAGTAATCATTTATGTTGATTACAAATTCTTGCGAACTTGAGATAATCAACCATTGGTAGATTACTGTTTTTTATATATTTTTTTTTAATATCTTTCTTAATTGCAATTCTTTGATATTTGATATCGTTGATGAGATTTTTTTTTGTTCTTATATAAATAAATATTCTATGGATAATCCCATTATAAGTTATGTTTAAAGGTAAATTCACGTTAAGCTGATCAAACGATAAGATCTGCTAAAGTTTATCCATAAAACGAGTTGTAACTCTAAAACAAGGTCATATTGGTTATATATATATATATGTTTATAAAAAACTTTTTTTTTTTTATTACTTTTTCGTTCTTCATACACCCAATGTGTAATATTTTTTACATTTACGAGTATACCCATTTTATTATATCGAGATAGTAATAGTAGTATGATTTAAAAAGTTATTATTATTAATTATTTTTCTTTATTGTTTAATAATCTCTTGTAAATTATTACAGAATTTTTAGATCAGAATTAATTTTTTAGAATTAAAAAAAAATTGTTATTTATGCAACCACACCCCCGCCCCTCTAAAAAAAAACAAACAAACTTTACAACCAACTCTCTCGTACTTTTAATTTTTGGTAAAAGAATAAAAATAAAAATAAATATTAATTATTAATAATTAATATAATTTTGTTCAATATGAATATATATTAGTTAATATAAAAATTATTATTATAATTAATTAATTAATTGCTGACCTGTCTAGCACAAAAACGTTTTGAGTTGCTAATTGGACTTTCTGCCATTTAAGAAACATAGAATCCTTTCAATTATGACACACTAACACCATCGATCAAGAATCACCAGAAAATAATTTCTTTTTCCTCTTTTCCCTTTTTTTAAGGAAAATTTCCCTTTCCCCTTAAAATTTTATTTTAATATTATATTAATAAATATTTTTTCAATGAAATTTATCATCAAACATTTAAAACATTGATATCATTTTTCATTATCATCAATCACGTTAGATACACACACAGGACACACACACACATACAATACACAATGCACAATGCACAATGCACAATTAATAACAAATATTTGACCGATCGGTTAGACGATATTTTTATATATGAAACAAGAGAAGAAAAAAAAAAACTAAACCTCGATCAATCAGGGTTGGTATCGAATGTAGATATTTTTATTGGTTACACACAACGAGGTGTTACTTTGTATTAAAATAAATTCACCCTTGTGAAATAAATGGGGAGGGAAAGAAAAAAAAAATAGCGTCAAAGAAACAGGTCAACGATATTTAATAAAATAGTATTAATAAATAAAAATCCAATGGTATATAATTATAAATATATATATACATGTATACATTAACATGAGCACACATATGCTCAGAAATGCACAGAATAAACAATTTTAATTTACAAAAGAAAATACTAATAATAATAAATTAATTAATTAATTAATTAATTAATTAATTACTCGTTTAACACGGTATCAAATATTATAAACAATATTAACGATCAATAGTTAACAATATAAAAAAAAAAAATATGAAAAATATGTGATCGATTGAACGAACGACAAATGGCTAGAAAAAGATCAAAGAGAATGTCCTAGAGTATATCTAAAAAAGAAAATAGAATAATGTTGTTGACACTTAATATAAAACCATCAAAGGAAGATCAAGAGAGAGAGAGAGAGAGAGAGAGAGAGAGGTAGCAAAAGGAAACACGCGTATTATAAAGGACGAAGAGTCCTGCACGAGAGCTGGCTTCACACTGATGCAATGCAGGCCGTAAAAGGGGAGAGCTGGTGTTGTTCGATTGGTGCGAAGGCAAGTAGAAGGAGGTAGAGGAGGATGTGAGAGGAGGATGACGAGGAAACGTAAGGGGAAGAAGAAGAGGAAAAAGAAGAAGAAGAAGAAGAAACAAGGAAGAAGTGTGTTGAAAATGTTGTGTGTGTCTCTCATATGCGTTCACAAACATGTTGAAAAATAATATCAATATATACACATTCATCTGCATGTTCATGTGCAAGTTCATGTGCAGCCTCATGTGCATGTTCGTGTGCAAGTTCATGTGCAGCCTCATGTGCNTGTGCAAGTTCATGTGCAGCCTCATGTGCATGTTCGTGTGCAAGTTCATGTGCAGCCTCATGTGCTTGTTCATGTGCAAGTTCATGTGCATATGTTCAGCTGCATGTGAATGTGCATGTTCAACTGCATGTGAATGTGCAGGTTCAACTGCATGTGAATGTGCATGTGAATTTTGTGGATGTGAATGTGCATATGTATAAGAATATGCTAGTGTGTTGAACACTAGGAGGACAACCCTCTATGTTTAGTCCACACCCCTTAGTTTACAACACACATTTTGATGTGGATATTTGTAGAAGTATAGGTGAAGTAAAAAGGAGTAGGGTTTAGCCCTATTAGGCTAATAGACCTTTGGTTGCCTTGCGACCTCCTCGCTTAGACCAATAACAACACTGAAGAAGGATTTCGTGCTCGGCAAGCATCTAATCTGAACTAATAACTCAGTCGGTAGGCGTAGTTGTGTTAGTTGGTTAGATTCTTCTTTAGCTTCTTCGATCGATTTCTTATTATCTCACTCGATCTATCTTTTTGTTATATATATATTTGTTACATATATATGTATGTTGCTATTGGTGTTGGTATTGCAACACAACAAGACCATTATTTGTTAACTATTCGTTTAATCTAAATTATCCAAGTAAAAAAGGATAATATTATGATGAAACTATTAACTTATTTACATATTTATTAAATTGTTTGCAAAATAAACAAATTTTATTAATGATTCATAAATATATTTTGATCATAATCTGTAAACAAATTTTCCGGTACCAATATGAAACTTGAATTTTTGTTGACAATTTTGAAATTGTTCTTTATGAGTTAGTATCGATTTTAGCAACAATATTTATGCAAATATATTTGAGATAAATTAATGATATATTAATTGACAATATTTTATTGTATGCATTAGTTAAGCATAAACAAAAATCAATCATCATCAGTAGTACCAATTAAAATGAACAGATTGATGAACGTTATGACTGATACTATTTGAACTTAACAAAAATGCTAATCCAATCCCTTTTCAATGTTTTATTCATAACATACACCTGGTGTGAGTAACATGAACCAGGTGAGGAGAAAAAAAAATCGTGACTCTGGCTGGGCCGAGGTCGTGACCTGACAACCTCGTTCCAATGACCTCTTCATTGGAACTCATAATTGTTTTAATATTTTATACAAAAGTTTTGTCTGAGATAAATATTCGAAATTATTTATCCTAACTAGATAAGATCGTTTAATCAAAATTCTAAATACGAAAAAAAAAAACAAGATCAGATACACATTTAGAATGGGAACAATGGGATCGTAAAATCCATTTGGAATGATTATCCTTGTTATTTTAGGTTTTCAAGGGATTGATTCGATTCGAAATCCCTGAACGTTTTAGGTTGAAAAACAAAAATATAAAAACACATTGAGATAGGAACGTTTTCTCGACAAATTGGCTCAGATACAGTCGTCGGCATTTTATTGAGATTAATGTTTGATATATGATTGGTAAAAAAGATTGAGTTTTTTTTTTTTTTTTCAAAAAGAAAATTTGAAGGATGTCCAAAAATATTCGAGGGGGGGAAAAAAACATCAATCGTTTTGATTGCAGGAAACTTTTGCCAAATTTAAGCAAAAAAAAAATAGAAACTCTAATTTATTTTCTCTTTCATAGAATTAGTTAACAGTAATCATCAATTTATTATAAATAATTAAAAAAAAATATATATTTCATTTTATTATCGACACTTTTTATTTATTTTTTTTTTTTTTTGATAATTCGTTCAATCAAATTTATGTTCAAACATTTTCATTGGAATTATTTTTGTTTTCCTTCAAAATCTAATTAAAAATTAATTAACGCTAGAACAATTTTAATTAGTATCACACACATTCTCACAAATAACCCCCCACCCACCAACCCACCCATCCCCTATTATTTTTCTAAAAATTCTGCGATCTTTTTTTATTTTATTTTACTTCTTTTTTTTCCCCTTTTTTGAAGTAGTCTCTTCAAATATTACAAATTTCTCACACATCTGTTTTATTAATATTCGCAAATATTAAAAAAAAAAAAAAAATAGGAAGACAGTAAAAGCATTGACAAAAAAAAATAAAAAATAAAAAATACAAAAACAAATAAAAGAAATAAAAAACGCATTCCCTTGAAAAAATATTTCGTCCTTGTAATCATTTATAGTATCTCGAGGTCATTTGAACTTTGTGAACCACTTTTTGTGTGTGTGCTTTTTACATAAAAAAGAAACTAACACACACATATACACACCTATACCATTTCATATTTTGTATCTTTACTTTAAATACAAGTCAACATAGAAAAATCAACACACCAACCAACCAACCAACCAACCAATCAACGATCACGATTCCCTTTTCTTCCCTTTCTTGCCCTTCCAATCTTTACATACATATACATACATACATATATATATTCTTTTTATATATTTTCGCAATTTAATTTCTATCCCCACCACTTTTATAGACTGCGTGATTTTCAAAAGTAGGTCACGTCAACAGCAAACATATTTGTACGTTTCATCGGTTTCAATGATGTATAATCCGTTTTAATAGCGAGAAAGCTTCCGTCGAAACGACATACTACTCCCTTGTGTCTGTACATAATATGTGTACGTATATGTGTGTTAGTGATAAAAACAGGAAGAGAGAGAGAGAGATAGAGAG